GCAGAGATAAAACAGAAACTTTTTTATTTATAATAATATATTATAATAATGTATTACTAAATGTATTTTTCCAGAGGTTCTTGAAAAACTTTTATAACTTTAAGGAAAAGGAAAATCCAGGGACAAAAATGAAAATCAATGAAAACTTTATGGAGAATGAAATTCAGGAAATGCAGAAGTTCTTGGGGCTAAAAGTGACTGGAAAACTGGACACATCTACTCTGAACATGATGCACATGCCTCGATGTGGAGTGCCTGACGGTCATCATTTCAGGACAATGCAAGGAAGGCCAGTATGGAAGAAACATCTTATCACCTACAGGTAACCTCATAGCCATGTATTTTTCTACTTTTTCAGAGGTCTAACAGCAAAAGGCATAAACTTCTATGAATGTAAATTTTCATGACGATGACCTATAAATCATAAATGAGAATAAATCAAGTTATATTTTGCTTAAGGAGGATGCTGTCAGAGGATAAATGTTTCTGTAATATAAGAAGTATTTTTTTTTAATCTGGACAATTAATTTATGAAATAATTTATTCTTCAATGATGGTAGCAGAAACGAAGTATAATAATAAGACAAAATTAACACATGTTTTTTATATATTTTCCTCTCTTTTGTTTTGCTGGTAAAGAATCAATAATTACACTCCTGACATGAAACGTGTGGATGTTGACTATGCCATCCAGAAAGCTTTTCAAGTATGGAGTGACGTGACACCCTTGAAATTCAAAAAGATTAACACAGGAGAGGCTGACATTATGATACGTTTTGCTCTTGGAGGTAGAGAACTTGGACTTACTTCATCTGTATTATTTGGCATGACCAATAGCAAGTATAGAAAGACTAATTTTCTTTCCTTTTTAAAAAGATCATGGAGACTTCTATCCTTTCAATGACAAAGATGGAATCTTAGCTCATGCTTTTGGACCTGGATCTGGTATTGGAGGGGACACACATTTTAATGAGGCTAAAATGTGGACTGCAAACTTTAAAGGTAGGCAAATAAATAAACAAACAAAACCACAAAAGAAAACCCTAACAAATTCTAAATTACTTCACCAGTTGAATGGCTACATTCTGAGAAAGGCTACCTTGGATGGGAAAACTTGTTCCGATTATAATTTTACCACTAAATAAAATATAACATTTTGTCTCAATTCCACTCTCTGTAAATTGAGAATATTGGACTAGATTATTCTAAAGATCAGTTCTAAGAATCTGAGGATGAGTTAGTTCATTAGTATAAACTCAGGAACCTTAAGAACCATATTATGGAAAGGTAAAAGCTGTTATTTAATGATCACTTTTGACAGAGCACTCCATAAACTCAAGCAAACACAGATACTAATTCAGTGTATGCCAACCACCCTGGGCTAGCATGATCATCTTCACGATCCATTGTATGTTGACAATTTCTTAGATTCATAGTGACACAGAAAGATGATGCTATAGAGAATTTAGAGATCCTTATTGAGAAACATAAGGTTATACAGTCATGTAGTCACTTGTGATTCTGGGATAAAAGTTTTAGAATGCCCAGCTGATCATTTATTAATACCTGTGTGTATTTACAGAGGAGCTATAACTTATCATTCCTCTCAGAGACTTGAAAGATGGAGATAACTAGTCTCCCTGTTTGGAGTTATCACTGTCTATTGAAAAATTCAAACCATCATACCAGAAGCCTTCCTAATCTTTCTATTGGAAAGCCAGGGCGTGCATTTCCTAGCTCTTATTTTATCTCAATGTGTACTTTCTACCTGTCCATGTTACCTTATTTTTAATTGGCTTGATTCTATGTTTTCAAAAAGCTAAATTATTTATGGAAATTCTAACTTAAAGTGCTCATTCTCAGCCTAATTTTTTGACACAATAAACTGAACAAAGAATTACTTAATGTTTACTACGTTTCTATTATGGTGTTAGGTGATGGGATGGGGGTGTTTGGATACAGACATGAAAAGGACACACCCCTGCCCTGGAGGAGCACACAATCTAGTGAGAAGCAGAATATAAACAGAAATCCATTATTCTGAGATGAGCACCAGTAGTGGTCTTTTGTACAAAGTATTATAGGAATTGGGAATAAGATAAATTCAGGTTTAGTTCCAATTATAAAAATCTTTGTCTACTCTTCTCCAACTTATGCAGAGTGGAGAAAATGACAGAGTCTTTGCTTCTCTGTCATTATTTGAGAGAAATGAAAGCATATCTGAGTTAGTCACTGGACCCCTATGTTAGAGAGAATGTTCCTAGATACCCAACAAAAGAGAGGTATAGACTCTATGTTCCCACTTGGGTACTGGAGCATATTTCAAGGCCAGACTCTGCGACTAAGTAAAGTGTGATCCTTGGCAAGTCAGTTTTGAGCTTCAGTTTTTACACAGAAAAAGACAAAAATGAAGACATTTAGACTAGAAAACAGGTGAAAAATAAGTCAGAAGGTATTCACATCTTCTGGGAATTGAAAAGCTTGAGAGAAAGGACAAACCTCTCTCTTACCTACAAAGGTGCATTCTCTAGGACATACAGAATAATGAATAGGCATGACTATAACTTGGCAGTGTAAATGCATCTAAATTGTAAGCACAGTCTTTTTTATTTCATTTAGAATCAAATATAGTAAAAGGATGAGCTTTAGAGCCAAGAAATTTGGATTTGAATCTTGGATCAGCACTTAATTTGGCCAATTAATCTTGCTGATATTGTGTACTCATCTGTAAATAGGAAGCGTGGTGACTTCCTTTCCGTCGTATAAGGATTAGATACAATGTGGTATATTTTTCAGTGACTCATAGAATATGGAACTTAATATGACCTTATACTGGGTTAAGTAAAGGATGGTTACTAAAGACTTTTGCATATCCACTCAAGTCTGATCAAGAGTAAAAGCATAATGTAGTAGGAATGATTTAGAGGCAGTGAGAACTATTGAACACAGCTATGAGTTATTCCAGAATTTTTCACAACAGAATATATTTCATTTGTGTGACTGTGCAGTGATCCTTAACCAGAGACAATTTTTCCCCACAAGGGGGCATTGGTCAATGTGTGGAGACATTTTTAGTTGTAAAATTGAAGAGGGTTTGTTACTTGAATTTAATAGTAAACAAGAGATTTCTAAACATCTATAACAAAGAATTATCTGTCATATAATATTAAAAGTGCCAAGGCTGAAAAACCTTTTGCAAGAAGGAGGGGAACCAAGTAAAGGATTCCCAAATGTTTCCCTTTTCATTGTGTCAGATTTCAGCTGTGTTATTGTCTTCTAAATGTCAATATAGTTCACTGCTCTTTTCCCCTTCTGGTTGATTTCCTCTTAGGCTTCAATTTGTTCCTAGTTGCTGTTCATGAGTTTGGCCATTCCTTGGGTCTTCAACATTCCAATGATCCAAAGTCCATAATGTTCCCCACGTACCGTTATGTTAACCCCAACATATTTCACCTCTCTGCTGATGACAAACGTGGTATTCAGTCTCTCTATGGTGAGTTAAATTTCTTTACCATTTTGCCTTATAACAATACTCACTCTTCTGAGTATCATGTTTTCATGATAACTGCATTTAGACCAAACTTTAACATCTACCTTCTCTTTTGAACCACATGAAAGAAAACTTTGTGAGGTAGATAGCACAGATATCATCTTCATTTTTACAGATGAGCATAAAAGACCTACTATGTTAATGCCAGAGCCAGAGGCAGAACCTGAGTCTTCTGGCCTCAAATCTCCTTTTTTCTATCCAACATACCATTGTCTATTGAAGAAGACACAAAGAAATAATCTAACTGGGACCAGAAAACCAGAGTGAACAGATTCTTTTCCTCCATGGTGTCAGAACTACATGAAGGAAAAAAAATGTTTATTGTATGCTTTCTATAAATGTTATAGAGGGCTTAAGTTTCTTTTTATGTATTTTTCATCAAGAAAATTAAATGTTTTTTTTTTGAAGAACGATTCTTCCTCCTATGAACTAAAATGCAGATTTTTCTAATGTTTCTTGAAATGTATTTTCAGGAGGTCCAGAAAAGCATCAACCCTCATCAAATCCTAACAGTACAGAATCAGCTGCCTGTGAACCCAATATGAGCTTTGATGCTGTCACTACAGTGGGAGATAAAATCTTTTTCTTTAAAGACAGGTGGGATCATTTTCATATCTGACAAATTTTAAAGGCTCTGTTCCAGGGTGGTTTTTTTTTTTTTTTGTCAGAGAATGGTTCAAAATGATTTTTAAAAATGAAGTAGATAAAAATCGTGAGTTGGAACTTGGACTTGGTTCTGTAGGCAGTAAAGAGATCTTGAAGATTTTGAAGAAAAAAGAGTTGTATGATTATATTTATGTCTTAACTAGGAAACTGGCTTGTAAAAAAATAGATTTGCAAGAGGACTCTGGGTTGGGGAAAGATAAGACAGGAAGCAGAGAAGCCAAACTATTATACTCACAGAGAAAAATGGTGAAGTCTGACACTAAAGCTGTGACAGAGTGTATATTTAAAGGATTTGATTCTTTATTATAGAGAAGAGAATTCCAGGATGACTTATGGTTTCTGCCTTACGACACGAATTGAAACAAATATTGAAGGTGTGGGAGAGTATAGAAGATTAGTATTTGGTAGGGAAGACAAATATCCTTCATTTTTGAGATTCAAAATCTGAGACCCTTAAGGATAAGTGATTTCCTTTAGATTACAAAACCGGTGAATGGACTGTGGGAACAGACTAGAACCTAGATCCCTTAATTCCAAGCTCCATGGTATTTTCATATACCAGTTTGCCTGTGGGATCATTGCTATTATCGAAGAGTCAATTAAGATTGTTTCCTTGTGGTGCTCCTACATAGACATCTATGGAATACAATGTGAAGATAATGGAAAGAAACGTTAAGTCATTTCACAAGTCCTTCCACTCACATTTCATGATTCTTGAGTTCATAATAATTTTTAACATGTGTTAAATGTTTTATATGCCAGGTTATTCTGGTGGAAGCTTCCCAAGAGTCCAAAAAGAGGTACTGGTTTAATTTCTTCTTTATGGCCAACATTACCATCTGGCATTCAAGCTGCTTATGAAATTGGAGCCAGAAAACAAGTTTTTCTTTTTAAAGGTAATTCCAATGTTTAGTTTTGCTATTGAGCTGTTTTTCTACCTCAAGGAAGAAAATAAATTAAGGAAATACTACTACTTTTTATAAATTGAAACAGCACTTCAAGTTTTATTAATCATACTTCAAACTGTAACCTAAAATAGCTTAAATACGTAACTAATATATAAAAGTTTGTAAAATATAGATTGTAGTACTTATGGAAAAAATACAGAACCATCAGAGACAGGTCATGTTTAAGAACAAGGAGTGATACATTTTGAAACTATGGGAAATGAATGACGTTGTTTGTAGTGAGTCAGTACATATTTCAATTATTCTTTCTGTGCTATTCCAACGCACCCTTTTCCTTTGTCTTCACAGATGATAAGTACTGGTTAATCAGCAATTTAAGACTACAGCAAAGTTATCCCAAGAGCATACATTCTTTGGGTTTTCCTGACTATGTGAAAAAAATTGATGCAGCTGTTTTTAACCCACTTCTTCATAAGACCTACTTCTTTGTAGATCATCAATATTGGAGGTGAACTTTAATGGCTGGTAATTTGACCCCTGAGATTTGTGAAACAGGCAAGGAATAGAGTTTTCCAAAAGGCAGACTTCTATGCAAATTCCCAAAGATCTTTGACCTTCCTGGAAGAGTAATCAAGAGAATATAGGACTGGAAGAGTTACTGTCAACCAAGTTCTTTTCTCTGGACTTTTGGATTCTAATTTATGAGATAACATATCATGTGTTTTTAAAGGAACACTTTAAATAAAACATCATGTTATTAATCACAGTGGAAACACATTGGAAAATAGTAGTAGAGATGTATGAAACCTAGTCTTTACAGTTAATTTGGAGGGTGTATGTATTTTTAGATTCCTTTCTATAAGGACTCTGAAGACAAAATGTGAAAACGAAGACAGAATGAGGAAACTATCCTCTGAGTGACAGCTGATCCTGCAAGGTCTTCTTCGCTAACAAAAAATTGGACAATCGAGCTCTAGAAAGCAAGACCAGACACTGGCGGAAGCACTGTGGAGGAGTAGGGGAAGTATTTGACTAGAACTCAGGAAGCCTAGGGTTAGAGTCCTATAGGGACTTGGAGTAAATCTGTGAATTTTTTAGGTCTTTGGTTTTCTTGTCAGTACAGTTTAAAGCCTTTCAGGAAGAGACTTTCAGGAGAGAATAAGATGGCTTTTGTTGTTCATGTCATGAAATGTCAAGTTTTATGTCATGAAATTCACGACTGATGGAGTTCCTGCTGGTTATTTTTTTGCTCAGGTATGACGAGAGGAGACAGTTAATGGACACCGGTTATCCCAAATTGATTACTACGTACTTCCCGAGAATTGGGCCTACAATTGATGCAGTCTTCTATTATAACAGTGAGTAGATTGAGAAACTATAAAGATACTGAAATCACTTTTAAAATACTGAGTCTCTTATGCTTTTTATACCTTACAGTTTTTACCTTCTACTCTTCATGGGTTCTCATGGACTAGGGCTGGTGGTGGGATGAGAGAAGCTTAAGTTTGTTTGAGTTTGTGTTTGTGAATGTCTTCACGAAAGGTCAGCCTAAGCAAAATTGTTGAGCGGGACAAGATATTTTGTTGTTTCTTCCTATCTCCATGTTTCTTACTTTCTCCTCTAAGGCTTCTATATGCCCTACCTGGGCCCAATCTCCTTTCTCCCACTCTGAGTTCTCCACCTGGAGTGTGAATTTTCAAAAATATTTACATCTTAATAGTCAGCCTTTAAGACTAAATAATCTTCTTAATAAAATTAATGAAGATATTTAATGGTGAAATGATTGGCAGTAGGAAGGTATCTGGGGGCAAGATACCAGCCAAGAGACCCAACATTTATATTCACTAATCAGACCTTATCTAATTTAGATAATCTAAAAATGCAGATCTATATTATATTTTATTTAAAGAAATATAAGCAGAGCATTAAACTATTCAATTTTTTTTTTCATTTTTAGAACACTACTATTTTTATAAAGGATCTAATGTACTTGAATATGATGTCCGATCACATCGTGTCTCCAGAATGCTGAAAAATGATGTCAAGTTTGAATGTTAGGAACAATATTATTAAGTACGTTTGTCAATCAATGCATTACTGTTTAATAAGTATTTATTGGATGCTTGTTATGTGCTCAGTATACCATTAAAGAATGACATGTAGCATAAAATAAGGTAAACTCTATAGACCATAGAGAAATGATCATATAGATAAGTGATTATACAAAATACATAAAGTTTTTTATTTTGAAAACCCTCATTGTCAATTTTTACTTGACTCTGCACTTAAGTTTGAAAATAGACACCTTCAAAGGCCAAGAGAATATCTCAGTATCTGATATCGTTGAACTGAAAAATTGTAATTATTTCTCTGGCTTAACTAAAATTAAGAGACGATTAGCTTCTTTGATCATTAAATGTTTCAGCAAGGATATCATTTGAATTCTTCTGGAGTAAAAATAGACTATACCTAGAATTTTGAAAACAACAATCAATGTAAGTAATATATAAGTAAATTATATAATTATGATAATAATATAATTTTATTCTGTTGTCAGTGTTGACTTTTCCAATAATTTATATTATATATGTACATTGTTCAAATAAAAACTTTGAAAGTATTTGACTTTTAAGAATTTTTCTTGAAAAATAGAATGTGTATTTTGAAAATAATTCTAGACCTACTTCTAAATAAATAAAACAAGTAGCTACATGATTATACTAAGGAGTGACTAGAAATATGGCAACTAGGGAAAAAAAGGGTTGTATTTGCTTTGGCCAATTGTTAAAGCCACCTACATCCTTGGTCTCAAGTCAAGAAAACATTCTCCAGACTATGTATGACCCCCAAAAGCACCTACAGTGTATTACCACAAGCCTAGAGAGAAAAAGAGATGAAATACGGCTTCACATTTTGGTAAAATTTCTGTTGCACCTCCAGTCTCACAATATGGGTCATGTAATTGCTATGTGAATTTGATAAGAAATTAAATCTAAGCTTCTCTAAATTTCAGAGGAAATATTAGTGGTGCCCAAGACATAGATTTATTGTGGAAAAAAAAAAATGATCATGATGTATGGTGAGCACATCATGCTGGTAGCTTTCTCTGCCTTGCATCAATTTTTTCTCCATTACCTTGACACACATTCTCCCTATTTTCTGAATTGCATACATATTAAAGCCTCCACTAATATCTTACAGGTTTGTGTAATACTTGTAATTTTCAATTTATTTGCAGCCCATTGCTGATTGATGTAGTCAATATCCAAGAAATGGTCAAGCTCCTTTCAGCTCAGATGATTCTTTTTGACTAGCAGAATGAACAGAGACAGGGAAATACGAGGACCAGAAAGAATCTAGATAGAGAGCGAGCTCTCTGTGCTTCATAGCTTAGATTTGTTCTCAAGTATGTGCTCCTTCAGTATAATAACCCTACAGTTGTCTTTACAAGCAATAGGGGCAAGTCATCCTTAGAGGAAATGCTATTTCCCCACAGGAAACTAGATGCTGGACTTCCTTCAAAAGAAGAAACTTCCCCACAAGATTAGCATTGAAAGAAAACTTAATGGTATCTGGAATAAGTAGTTTATTCAGGAATAAACAATGGCTGCATTGGAATAAAAGCCCAGAGTATACCCCTCTTAGTTTCATGAGTGTTCATGGAAATGCCTTTAAATATTTAAAAATGAGCCTTTTCTCCTTCTGCCTCCATTTGTGTTTTATTTTCAAATTTTGTTTAACAAATTCTTAAAATATTAACCATGTGCCAGGCACTGTTCTAAATGCTGTACACACACAAAAAGAATCTTCTATAATAATTAATAATAAATTTATTATTATTAATAAGTAATTACCTAATCCTTATTACAAATATGAGGTAAATACTATCACTCACATTTTTCAAATGAGGAAACTGAGGCACTGAACGGTGAACTAAGTTGCCCAAGGTCACATAACCTTGAAGCTGCAATTCAAAGCCAGGCAGTTTGACTCCAGAATCTGTATTAATAACCACCACAAAATTCTTCCTTTCAAATTTACAAAGTGAAAAAAAAATCAAAATAAAAACTACTGGCACACCATCCCTCTTTTATTTGACCTTTCAATTAAAAAGTCTTTAAAATATTAGAAGAATTCTTTATGTGTCCAGACAGGAATATCATTTCTCTTTGGAAAAGATAGTAGTGATATCTTGCTAATGTCAGTGGAAAACCAAGACTTGGAAACTACAGGTGTCTTTATAATGGAGTGCTGGACACTGTCTAATGGGTCTTCTGAAAAGAAGCTGATATTATGATGGTGTGTAGCTTTGATTTTCCAACGACCTGGATATTTTATAACTCTGTAAAGATACAAATAATAGAAAACAGATAATAATGCAAATACTTCTTTTATATAGCAATGCAAATAAAGGTTATCTATTAGAGATACAATTGTTTTCCATCTGATAGACAACCCAAAACATTACATATTATTGCCCTAAAAAATATTAATGCATTTATGACATTAGAAAATTTATTTTAGCATTTTTTACTGCATAGATATCTGTTCTGCACATCCTTATGTGAACTAATTTCCTCATTAGTTAGAGAACTGAATAATATCTTTACCATGTTTATTTTACATTTGTAAGAAAATAATTTTTAACTTTTTAAAAAATTATACTTTAGTGCAAGTTAGCCAACAGGAAAGGGCGGAGTCCTGCCAATCTTTTAGATTACCAGGTGCAGAAGACCACTGATTAATAGTTAACTCCTCAAGCTTGACACAACTAGAGTCTAGCCTTCCTGATCTTGTCTGCCTCTTTACCTTCTAACAATGCAGTGATGAACATTGCCCCTGTACAAAAGAAAGGAAAAGATATGCCACATCTGGGTGACATACAATTTCTGAGGTTCACTTTTTTTACTTTGTTCATTCATTCAAAAATATTTATTGAGAATCCGCTAGATTCTAGATCCTGTGATAGGCATGAGGGATTCAAAGATGACTAAGAAACTTTCTGCCTTGAAAGGCACAAACTATGGTAAACTAAAAGAGAGACATGAAAACAACAAGTTATTAAGCAACAAAGTAGATACACTAATAGAAGCATGTACAAAATATAAGAGTGAGTCAATCTCTGCAGGATTCAGGGAACACAGAATAGTGTGGAAAACAATATTTGAGATCTGTTTTAAAACATGAGAGGAATTTTTAAGTGGAAAAGTGGGCTAAATGTATTCCAGGCAGAAGACCCATTATACACAAAGACTAATTTTTATTAATTTGGAGCATAAAAAAATAAAAGAAGAAACAGCAGGAGATAAGACACTAGATCACAAAAGACCTTTACTGTCATGAGTTTGATATTTATTTCATAAGTGACATGACTTTTTAAATTTAAGATGGGTAGAAATGACTAAATTGCATTTTAGAAGATTTTTTGTTGGAACTATGGAAGATAAATCATAAGGAATTAAGGCTAGATACAGAGGAGAACAACTATTATACTATTCTACTACTCTATGCAAAAAATACTGAAAACCTGAATTATAGCCATGGGGAGGACAGAGGTGACATTACAACAGCTAGAAGGGAAAATTAATAGAATTTGTTTAGTGTTTTCCATGTGGGGTATGACTGAAAAGGAATAATATAGAATGATATTTAAGGATCCGGTTTGAGAAATGACCTTGAATAGGGACTAGAGAAGGAAAAGCAGATTATTGAGGAGGTGGTAGTCTGCTAGATGGAATCAAAATAATTGAATTTGTTTAGTCTGGGAGCCTTTTTTTGTGAAGTATAATTGACTTAAAATATTATATTACTTTTAAGAGTACAACATAGTGATTCAATATTTATATATGTTATGAAGTAATTACTACCATAAGGCCAGTTACCTTCTGTCACCATAAAAAGTTATTACAGTATATTCTCTATGCTGCTTGTTAAATCCCTGTGATCTATTTATTTTAAAACTAAAAGTTTTTACTGCTTAATCCTCTTCACCTATTTTGTCCATCCTCCCATTTTGAGTCTGGGGAGCCTTGAGAAATTCAGGCAGGGATGTCCAGTAGGTAATGAAATGGAATCAAGGTCCAGTAAAGTGGTTTGGTCCAGAAATTTAAATGTTGGATTCTTCAGTGGATAGATGGAAAATACCAATTTAGAAGTTAATGGGATATACCAGCAGAAGCATAAGTAATAGTCTTTATAGTACACATCATTCCTAGGAGTGACTTTCTAGAGCATAGTTTTGTTATTCAAATATCAAAATATTTTAAGAAGGTTATAATGTATCAAATAAAAAAGGATTGTGCTTACTTCTGCAAGAAAACTCCCAGCTCATGGAGATTAAAATCTAAGATTTTTGTCTTATTATGTTTTAGTATGTAAATACAACTTCCGAGGATTACTTTTGTTTCTGGTCATATTGAAAGAACTAGTACTGAATTTTCCTTCCTGCTATGATTAACTAGAGAACTGGGCAAAAATGTAGAAACAGTTGATTCTATTCATTGGACACTATGCAGTCTAGAGAAACAAATAACGCAGGCTCCCAAATCTTCCCTGCTTTCTGTTGTTAGGTGTTTTCCAAGACACAGCACAGAGGAAGTGAACCCAGCAGAACACAGTGGTCTCACTGAGTTGAGGAGACTGATATTAAAGTTCAGGGAGGTGGAAGTGGCTATAATTTGCAGAGAAGAGTATAGAAGAGGAAGGACCCATACAAAGAAAGCCCCTAGAATTGGGAGAGGCGTCCACTTGAATATGCTGATGAGCTGCATATGCACCATCAAGAAGCAGTAGACTGAACAATTCCCAGAGATTACACAGGCCTGGAAGAGACTTGAGTTCCATCCAGCAAGAGTGGCAAGATACTGAGCACTTGGGGCATTCAGTGAACTTCTCTTAATTGAAAGGCTAGATCCACACTAAAAAAGCTTAAAATAAAATTCTGAAAAGATTGAGGGGATTTGCAAATTACATAGCTGCCTGCCAAAACTAAATTGAACACCTTTAAAAAAATAAAAAGCTAAACACCTAGTGGTATAACATTCACAATGTCTAGCATCCAATACAAATTTATTGAACATGCAAAGAAGTAGAAAAATGCGACCCATAATAAGAACAATTAACCAACAAAAACAGACACAGAAGTGACAAAATAATGAAATTAGCAAAAAAAGAAATTTATTTATTTTCATTTATTTATTTAGTTAGTTAAGTTTATTGGGGTAACATTGGTTAATACGATTATATAATTTTCAGGTGTACATTATCATTTGACATCTGTATATTCTATTGTGTGTTTACCACCCAACATCCAGTTTCCTTCAGCTACCGTATATTTGATCCCCTTTACCAACTTCATCCTCCCCTAAACCCAATATTTGACCCCCTTTACCCCGTCTACCTCCCGCCTCCTTCTCCACCCTACTTAGCA